GTGTAGTGGAAGCGTGTTGAACAGTCTCGGACCTCTGATGTTGATAGAGTTCTCTCTCAGAGTACCTGTTGCACCTCTGTTTTTCAACGGGGGTATTCTGCACATCCTGCCATGTCTTCTGGTCTCATGTGATGTTATTTCTGTGTGCAGGTTTGGGACCAGCCCCTCTAATATTTTCCACGTGTAAATTATTATGTACCTCTCCCGCCTGCGCTCAAGGGAGTACAGTTTTAGGCTCTTTAGTCGGTCCCAATAATTTAGATGTTTTACTGAGTGGATTCTAGCAGTAAAGGATCTCTGCACGCTCTCCAGGTCAGCAATTTCTCCAGCTTTGAAAGGTGCTGTCATTGTGCAGCAGTACTCCACTCTAGAGAGCACAAGCGTTTTGAAAAGTATCATCATCGGTATAGCATCTCTAGTGTGAAAAGTTCTTGTTATCCAACCTGTCATTTTTCTTGCAGTTGTGACGGCTACTTTATTGTGTTCTTTAAAGGTAAGGTCTTCCGACATGAGTACACCCAGATCCTTTACATTGCCTTTTCGTTCTATGTTATGATTTGCCTGAGTTTTGTACGTGGTTTCCGTTTTTATATTTTCATTTTTTCCATAGCGCATGAGCTGGAACTTATCTTCGTTAAACACCATATTATTTTCTGTAGCCCATAGAAAGACCTGATCTACATCTGACTGGAGGTTCGCCGTGTCCTCTATGTTGCCTACTCTCATGAAGATCCTAGTGTCATCTGCAAAGGATGATACAGTGCTATAGGTTGTGTTCTTGTCTATGTCCGATATGAGGATGAGAAAAAGTACTGGAGCAAGCACAGTACCCTGGGGGACTGAGCTCTTCACGGTTGATGGGCTGGATTTTATTTTGTTGACTATTACACATTGGGTTCTGTTGGTCAGGAAATTGTAGATCCATCTGCCTATTTTTCCGGTAATTCCTTTTGAACGCATTTTATGTGCAATAACACCATGGTCACATTTATCAAAAGCTTTTGCGAAATCTGTGTAAATTACATCAGCGTTTTGTTTGTCTTCCATAGCATCTAATGCCATATCATAGTGGTCCAGCAACTGCGACAGGCAAGAGCGCCCTGTTCTGAAACCATGTTGTCCGGGGTTATGGAGATGCTGTGATTCCATGTATTTTGTGATCTTACTTCTTAGCACTCTCTCAAAAATTTTTATGATGTGCGATGTTAGTGCTATCGGTCTGTAATTTTTTGCCTCTGCCTTATTTCCTCCTTTATGAAGTGGTGCTATCTCTGCTGTTTTTAGTATATCAGGAATAACGCCAGTATCTAGGCTTTGTCTCCACAGAATGTGGAGGGCCTGCGATAGTGTTTTTTTACAGTTCTTTATGAATATGGAGTTCCAAGAATCCGGGCCTGGTGCAGAGTGCATAGGCATACTGTTTATGGCTTCTTCAAAATCCAGTGGGGATAGGGTGACGTCTGATATATGATTTGATGTTGGTATCATATCCATGAAAAATTCATTTGGGTTATCAATCTTTAGTGTGTTTAATGGCTCGCTGAAAACAGAGTCGTACTGCTTCCTCAGTAACTCGCTCATTTCTTTGTTGTCATCGGTGAAAGTTCCATCTCCCTTTCGCAGGGGCCCGATACTAGATGTGGTTTTTGATCTTGATTTTGCATAGGAGAAAAAAGATTTCGGATTTCTTTCTATTTCACTGATGGCCTTTTGCTCTCTTTGCCTCTCCTGGGTTTTGTATGATTCTTGTAGCTTGAGTTCAATTGTTTCTATTTCTCTACCTAACCTTCTTCGCCGTTCTTGAGATAGGGTGCGACTCTCAAGTTGTTCCGCGATTCGTTTTCTTCGCCTATATAGGGAACGACGTTCCCGTTCCAATCTGCATCTCTTCCTCTTTTTTCTTAGGGGTATGCGGTTTGAACATATTTCTAGTGCTACTGAGCTTATTTTTTCCAGGCACTGGTTCAGGTTTGCATTTTCTAGCTGTTCTTCCCAGTTTATTTCTGTGAAGTCCTGGTTTATTTGCTCCCAGTTTATCTGTTTATTATTGAAGTTGAATTTGCTGAAATCTCCTCCACCGGGAATCTGGACTGGTTTTGAAGGTCTACTCCCCATGGTTGTCAGAACTTCAATTAAGTTGTGATCTGAGTAACAGGTATTTGTAATCATTATGTTCCTGATCAATTCATCATTATTAGTGAAAATGAGGTCCAGCGTGTTCTCCTTCCTAGTTGGTTCTACTATTTGCTGGTTTAAGGCAAACCTGTCGCACATCCGTAGCAGGTCATTTGCATGTGCCTGTTCATTTAGGCTACTTCCTGGTATTCTTTCTGATATTACTGTATTAGCCAGGTGCTTCCATTTCAGGTGCCGTAGGTTGAAGTCCCCAAGCAGGATGATGTTCGGAGCTGGATTTGTGAGGTTTTCCAAGCAGTGTTCTATTTTCATTAGTTGGTCTTTAAACTGCTGAGGGTTTGCCTCCGGTGACTTATATACAAGGACAATAACTACATTTAAAATCTCTATTTTGATTATCAGCACTTCCACCATATCATTTGAGGTGTTTAGCAGCTCAGTACAGATGAGTGTGTCTTTGATGTAGAGGCTGACCCCACCCTGAAGCCGGTGTTTCCTATCACATCTGAAAAGATTGTACTCTGAGATCCATATTTCACCATCAAGGTAGTCCTTTGTGTGAGTTTCCGTTAGGGCTGCAAACACTGCATTTGCCTCATGAAGGAGACCATCTATAAAGTGAACTTTGTTGGATTTGCGTGTTTTTATACCCTGGATGTTGGCAAATATAAATGATGTTATCGTGTTAGTGGAAGTGCTGGAAGCCTTACTTGGTGTTAATATCTGAGGCTCTGGTAAGGAGGCCACTGTGTTTGCGTCCAGGGTGTGTCGTTTTGGAAGTGATTCGTCCAGTTTTGGTAGTAGGACGGGTGTTGTCTGGTGTAGTACCTGTGTGCTTGTTGATAATTTGAATTCCAGTCTTGTGGGTATCTCCCTTCCCCTCTGTAATCCTGTAGTGGTTCCATCTGACTGTTCCTCTCTCTTATATTTACTACTCTGTTTCTGCCTTCCTCTAAAAAATTTCCAGTAGTGTCATATTGATCTTCCCGTCTATAACGCTGTGTACCTCTCACGTGGAATTCCGGACACTGAAGATTGTAGCATTTTTTGTCCCTAATTGAAAATTGACATAATTTAGGGTGGAAGTATCTACACCCTGTTCCAAAACGGCATGTACCCCTCGCCAACATGTTCCTGCATTTTCAAGGATGCAGAAAATGGCATTTTGCTCCTAATTTTCCATATTTTCATATTCCTTTAGCGTAAAATTTGCAAATGTGTTCCGGTTTTGCGTTTTTCAAGGTATTTATATCTGTGACTGTCTTGTCTACCTCTTTATTGGAGTCATCTCCGTTTTTCGTCCCAATTCCTTCATCTATGCACTCTGTTTCACTGTTGCTCTCATCGTTTATATTATCTGGCTCTGCAATATTGCTGTTATTTTGTACCACAATACCCTCTTCCTCCACACTACTGCTGCGGTTCTCTAAACTATCTGTTCCTGAGTTTTGGTCGTTATCCAATGTTGACTTTTCCCAGTCCGCATATATCACTGGTAGCCTGTCTGTGAATGATAATCTCAGTGACTCGGGAATGTTTTTCATCAGTTTAGTTATGTTCTCTAACATTAATCTGTCATCTTTGCAAACTCAGTAAATTCCTTGCCTTTTTGTGCATCCTGGAGCTAATTCTGTACAGCCCAGGTGAAATCTTATGTTACAGATGCAGCACGTTACGCCTACATTACGTTTCCCCAGTACTCCCGAACACTCGCCACACCTCTCCATTGTCTGATGTATTGTGTTGTGTTTGAGAGTCACTGTATGGATCACTTGTTGATGTCAGTCCTTTTAACTCTTTATAAAATTATATGTATATATATTTATATGTTTAATATTTATAATATTATATGTATACCGTATATTTGTAATATTATGTATGTTATTTTGTTCAAACTTTATGGCAGGTACTTAGCGTAGGGTAGCGAAGCTGGTCTCCCGGTCGGTACAGGTGACCTCTTGTTGTCCCAGGTTGATGTCACCAGTTTCCAGTTACTGGTGACATTTAGCTGGAAACTGGAAACTAGCTGACATTGTATCTATAAGGTGTGAAGGATAGATGAAATTGTTTATGTAATAATCTAAGATGAGGTCTGATAAAGACCTTTTGTGCCCTCTGTAATGCTTTTGTGCTACCGCTCACAGGATGAGTATGGGGTGCACAATAAATTTGCCGCCTTCGGCGGCAACAATCAAAATCAAAGGTCAAAAGCCTCGTCAGCTTGGTCGACGTCATACCTATGTACTTTGATTGAAGGCTACATCCTTCGTGGGGGACAAGTGTACATGTATACAACCCTTGACTGCTGTAAAGGGTTCTCCGTCGGCTTAGTAGGCGCAATAAGAGCCATCACCATCGACGACACAATTACTGTCACAGATGCCAATACATCACAAGCCCTAAGACACAACAACGTCACCCCGGGTGTATACTTTTAAGAGGTAAACTTCGAGCATTGGAAGTGAGTTAAGCATTGCTCGAAACCAAAATTAAACATCGCTACATCTGAAGACTATCATAGTCATCCTTAGATGCAGAGTCCAGCAGCACAAGTCCCTTTTTGTCTATGGTCTTTCTCACGTAAAGTGGAGAAGGGGGGTACAAGGTTTCGAAATATATAGTAGTCACACAAAGATAACGTATCATGTATATTGTTATCTATTGACCTGGGAGCCGCTGCCGTGTACCATATTGATGATGGGGGAGGGGGGAGGGGGAGGGACAACACATCACGGGGAGAGCCGTAACAAGCGAGAGGGTGTGTGGGTAATAGTGATCATAGAACACATCTTTTTTTTTTAATTATTATATTTATGCATTTTATTCAAAAACTGAAAACTGGTTAATTAACAATAACTCAGGAATAAGTTTTTCTATATATTTTGAGGGATATAGTTTAATGCCAATTTACATTTGTGTAAATTTGCAAATATGATTTACCCTTACCAATTCCTACGTTAATAGAATTGACACAACTGTGTTATTAACTCTAATTTTGTTTTTAATAATGAATTCTATTGTAAAAAAAAAATTGGAATTACTATGGGCAACCCTCTTTCTCCTGTTGAAAGCCATCTATATATGGAATTTAAAGTAATATTGAACTTTTTCCTAGAATTTTGAGTGTCATTTTGAGTGTAGAATTTTTCATGTCAGACATTTGTGTGATTATGGTGTTAAGTAACCACTAGTGTAGTCCAGTAGCTTCTCCAAGCTCTCATAAATATTGTTGTCTGCAGTTACTGATGGATCTGGCAGCTCCCTGCAAGGCCTTACCGAACACACTTTTGACGAAATCCCAGCTTCTCTTTTGTCTTCGTCTGCAAAAAAAAAGCATAGTTCACTAACATGTCTTGAGTATATCAGTGAGGAGCAATTATCAGATTACTGCTAGTTAGAGCCAGTAAATAACCCTAATAGTAGTCCGATATATCCGAGATAAAGGCATTTCAATTATTCAGTAAGGTTACAATAGTGTGAAAACATCTAGTGTGACCTAGAATGCGAGTTGATTCTCAGAACCAAATACATTTAAATGAAATCATATAATCTCATTACTCATTGCCACATTTGCAAGTTTATCAAGTTAGTGTTGAGTGTACTCAACTTCCAGAGAGTATCTCACGCCCGACGCCTCAGACATCTGAGGCTAAAAGCCCTTGGCACTTGTGACTGGAGGAGCACATTTCTGTGTTTGTGAATCTTGGCCGCCCGAAAACAAATTCCAGACTTTTGCTCTCTATTAGAAGCTGTATTTTCTTCTGTGTTTTTGAGGGCTCTAAGGATATGTCGTCTTGAGTTTATAGAAGATGAAATTAGTGTCATATATAGTCTAGGTTCCAATTTAAAATACCCAAAGTCATTTATTGATAAAGCAGGCACATTGCTCATAACACTTTCTTTAGTTTGAAAAAGAAAGAAGAATTCAATATTAAGAATACAATAATACCGCTATTCTATGATAATTTCAATGAAATTCCTAAATTACTAAAATAATTTAATGTAGCATAAATGAATCTTGATATCATAAAAACACTCACTAAAAATTCCCCCGGCAGGTACAATGGATGTGTGTATAAAATTCCGTGAAATTTTGTTTATAAGTTCATATTGGCCAAACAAGTCAACATTTTGACCAGAGAATAGAAGAACATGAATATAGTATAAGAACAGGTCACGAGTCTAATGCATTATTTGTTCACTTAAGATATTGTAATCATTCAATTGACTGAGTTAGTTCATGCAAAATTGTGGAGTGCCTCTCCTGCCTCCCTGGATCAGGCCCCATATTACACTCCGGATAATTTCAACATTAATCCTACAAGGTTTAAAGAGACTAACCTCAAGCATCTGGATTCCAATCTCGGACAGACAAATATACATTATCTTTTATAGATATAAATGGATTTTTTATGTCAGAACTAACATACATATTTCACCAAACCTAACCTGCCGAACCTAACATAATCATGTTATAATTGATGTTCTGAATACAATATTTTAATACTGTTAGGAATAAACCTATTTAGAAAAAAAAATGTAAAATTGTGAAAATCTCTCTTCTTGTTTAGTGAACTGTGAATAGATTGTGATTTTATTGTCATATATTAATGGTTCATTGTGCATTGATACATAGAATACGTTGCATAGACATTTTGTGAAACAGGCAAATATATAGTATGTTTTACATAGTGTAACGTTCACAGATAATTAGTCTACTGTGAATGGATAGAGAATTTACAGTTTATGTATAGTGTACTGTGTATAAATGTATTACAAATTTTGATGGTGTACTGTGTATAGTCTGAGTACTCTACATACATGGATCTTACTTGGATGGTGCACTGTACATAGTTAAAACGTGGTGGTGTGAACATAGTTGGTGTAATGTAACAGTGTAATGTACATCGTGTACTGAGTATAACTAGATTGTGTATTTGGTATATCTACATGAAGCATTGATAGTTGGTAAATAACTATGCATTAAGCATATACAGGTGATATATTCAATAACAAGTGAACCAAAAACTGAGGCTAGCAAGTTATGGCTCACGTTAGCTTGGGAGATGGATGAGGCAAATCTGACCTTGGCTCGACGATGGAGATATCCGAGCACAAAGTGGTCCTCAGGGCAGTACAGGAGGATCCTCTCGTGTCCTCACCACCTTCAGCAGCGCAGTTTTCTGTCACCAGCGTCCACTGTGTTGAGGTAGCAGACGCACAAGCAGCAGAACAGCAGCCACGCGGAGTTTACCGTTTAATCACAGTCAAGTTAGCGTTATGAAACGGAGATTGAAATAAGATTAGTAACAATTTAGTATTCCAGTAAATATTTTGTACTGATCAAAATATCAACAATCACAACAAAACAATATTTATTAAAAGGGAAAATAAACTAATTTTTGATATATCTAAAGACTTTGAAAAATTGTAAAGTCACGGCGGTTTCAAGAATTACAACAACCATAGTTTTCGTTTAGTTGACAGACAGCTCAGTGTCTCATGTCCGTTAATGATGGTTTGTGCCACAATGAATACTGAATATTGTCATTAACTTTGGGCACCAGAGTGACACCAGGAGTGGTGCCGAGCCCACGTTGTTCTTGGTGAGAGTTCACCGACTAACTAAACAATCGAAGAAATAATAACGAGAATTATAATAACATTTTTGGGGGTTAAATATGTAGAGTTTAAAAAATTCGATTTAATTTAGGAAACTTTTTCTTATGTAAATATTCCGGTGATCAAAAGTCACATAACGTATCCTTCCAGATCCTCTGGGAAGAATTTCTCCGTTTCTGGCTGAGCTACTCATTCTCTGCTCCTCCAACATAATGACCAGATTACCCTAAAATGTCGACACCATTAAAATTCTGTATTTTGAGTTAGTAACATCCCCCCCCCCCCAACTCCCTCGCATTCTCCAAACTTGCTATTCTGAACTACTCAAGTGGCAATAAATTATAAGCATTTTCCCTCTGATGACGTAAAGCCCAGGAAGCAGCAGACGTTCTTACCAGACACAACCCAACGACAATGTCCGCCGTGCAAAAAGTGTTTTGAATTATAAGAACACCTTAAAAATAAAGGTTCACTAAATGAAATAATATGTAGTTAAACTATTCATAATTGCTTATGAGTTATCTTCATACACTGTTGGAGAATCCAATTATGTTATTGCTTTATTTTTTATGAATGATTTGTCGTTATTTTTCACTTTCGGCTGATTCTAGAGACAATTGTATTTGGGTGAGTGATCGTTGATAAAGACAACATTTATTATTATTATTATTATTATTATTATTATTATTATTATTATTATTATGATTATTATTATTATTATTATTATTATTTATACAAATCAATAGCTTGAGTTTAGTTTGAAGTTTGCAAGCTAGAACTGCATGTTTTCTGTAGCGTTATCTGTAGTAATGCAGAGATTCTAGGGATTTTTTAAATATTATTGTGTATAATGTTTTGGAGCCAACTTGTAAAGACGCGTTCCACAATTTTACGAATTTCTGGTGCCAAAAGCTTCAGCTTTGTCTGCTGGTGCAAACGGAACATATAACTGGATGTCACGTATATCGCACCTCATGCTTGGTAATTTTTTCATTCGGGTGAGACTTGTAGAAAGCTAAGTGTGATCTGCATTTGTTTGTAGAATACGTACAAACTAGTCATGTCATTTATTCATTGCCATACGAATATTTCTGTACAGCAGTGAGTAATTTACATTTAGTTTGCCTTTTTTCTACATGCGTGAAATGTTGTAATGTTTTTCTGTCAACTTGAGATAAAACTGTGGATACGAATAAAAAAATTATTTTGAGTACTTCATTATAGATCAAATTTGCGAGTTAGTTTTCTAGCATATTTGCTGAGAACATTTTTCGTATTTTTTTTATTGACAAATTTTCATCTATTTCCACTCTTAATATTGTAGGTTGGTATATTTGATACCTTGAAATATCCAGGAGTTGGGTTTTACCCAAGGCATCAATAGCTTGCCCACGTTATCCTCAAGAAATGGAAGATAAAAGTGCTTCACTGATGTGATCACATCAATTTCTTGTCTCATGAAAAAGTGTAAAATTATTGTCATTAATTTTAGGATATCATCTTAGTAGATGTTCCATATAAGTAGTCCGATCACACTACCTATGACGATACTCGCCTCTGTGGTGTGTTCCTCAGAAGAGCAGCTGTTGACGACAATCTTTAAGGTTCGGTTACTTAAAATCAAGTCATGAGACGAGCTGTCCAGGCCGTCCTCCTAAGGTTTCCTAACATCAAGAAAACAGTCAAATAAAGGAGTCCTCTCCTAACCCAGCCCGTCCTCGGAAGCTGTCAGTCTACTGCTATTTTACATTATTATTATATCAAAGATGCAGAATATCCTGCATATAGATTTGCATTTCAGTGTAATGAAGGATGGGGATTGGTGGTACTGGTAAATTATGAGACCTGTCTGGTTGAGTGTTTGGCATGGCACTCAACCAAAAACTAATGAGACTTCGAATGAGCTTTGCTTGTTCCCTTTATTTTCTAGAAATGGCTTACCCTTTCAAATGTCCCTAGTGGTGGTCACAATAACTACCCTGTTTGAAATAGAAAACTATCGAAATAGATGTTGCACAGGTCCGATCTCAGTGTCTAGGAGCCAGGAGTACACTCACCACTATGGCAGCCTCACAATTGTCCAGAAACGTTCACATCGTTGGTTAAACCAAAGATAGGAATGATATCGTCAAACGCTCGTGTCACCTGGTATTGGTTCACTACCTTATCATTGACTGCGAAACTATATGTAAAATTATCGGATTCTTGGCCCTTTGTTCCTATGATAAAGAAGACGAATTCAGTGGGTGAGCAGGTTGACATCCAAGGGCTGCACCTCCAGTAATCACGTCCAAGGGTTGCACCTCCAGTAATCACGTCCAAGGGTTGCACCTGCAGTGATCACGTCCAAGGGTTGCACCTCCAGTAATCACGTCCAAGGGTTGCACCTCCAGTAATCACGTCCAAGGGTTGCACCTGCAGTGATCACGTCCAAGGGTTGCACCTCCAGTAATCACGTCCAAGGGTTGCACCTGCAGTGATCACGTCCAAGGGTTGCACCTCCAGTAATCACGTCCAAGGGTTGCACCTGCAGTGATCACGTCCAAGGGTTGCACCTCCAGTAATCACGTCCAAGGGTTGCACCTCCAGTGATCACGTCCAAGGGTTGCACCTCCAGTGTTTACGTCCAAGGGTTGCACCTCCAGTGATCACGTCCAAGGGTTGCACCTCCAGTGATCACGTCCAAGGGTTGCACCTCCAGTGATCACGTCCAAGGGTTGCACCTCCAGTGATCACGTCCAAGGGTTGCACCTCCAGTGATCACGTCTAAGGGTTGCACCTCCAGTGATCACGTCCAAGGGTTGCAACTCCAGTGATCACGTCCAAGGGTTGCACCTCCAGTGATCACGTCCAAGGGTTGCACCTCCAGTAATCACGTCCAAGGGTTGCACCTGCAGTGATCACGTCCAAGGGTTGCACCTCCAGTAATCACGTCCAAGGGTTGCACCTGCAGTGATCACGTCCAAGGGTTGCACCTCCAGTAATCACGTCCAAGGGTTGCACCTGCAGTGATCACGTCCAAGGGTTGCACCTCCAGTAATCACGTCCAAGGGTTGCACCTCCAGTGATCACGTCCAAGGGTTGCACCTCCAGTGTTTACGTCCAAGGGTTGCACCTCCAGTGATCACGTTCAAGGGTTGCACCTCCAGTGATCACGTCCAAGGGTTGCACCTCCAGTGATCACGTACAAGGGTTGCACCTCCAGTGATCACGTCCAAGGGTTGCACCTCCAGTGATCACGTCTAAGGGTTGCACTTCCAGTGATCACGTCCAAGGGTTGCAACTCCAGTGATCACGTCCAAGGGTTGCACCTCCAGTGATCACGTCCAAGGGTTGCACCTCCAGTGATCACGTTCAAGGGTTGCACCTCCAGTGATCACGTCCAAGGGTTGCACCTCCAGTGACCACGTCCAAGGGTTGCACCTCCAGTGATCACGTCCAAGGGTTGCACCTCCAGTGATCACGTCCAAGGGTTGCACCTCCAGTGTTTACGTCCAAGGGTTGCACCTCCAGTGATCACGTTCAAGGGTTGCACCTCCAGTGATCACGCCCAAGGGTTGCACCTCCAGTAATCACGTCCAAGGGTTGCACCTCCAGTGTTCACGTCCAAGGGTTGCACCTCCAGTGTTTACGTCCAAGGGTTGCACCTCCAGTGTTTACGTCCAAGGGTTGCACCTCCAGTGATCACGTCCAAGGGTTGCACCTCCATTGTTTACGTCGAAGGGTTGCACCTCCAGTGTTCACGTCCAAGGGTTGCACATCCAGTGATCACGTCCAAGGGTTGCACCTCCAGTGATCACGTCCAAGGGTTGCACCTCCAGTGATCACGTCCAAGGGTTGCACCTCCAATGATCACGTCCAAGGGTTGCACCTCTAGTGTTTACGTCCAAGGGTTGCACCTTCAGTGTTTACGTCCAAGGGTTGCACCAGAAGTGTTCACGTCCAAGGGTTGCACCTCCAGTGATCACGTCCAATGGTTGCACCTGCAGTGTTTACGTCCAAGGGTTGCACCTGCAGTGTTCACGTCCAAGGGTTGCACCTCCAGTGATCACGTCCAAGGGTTGCAACTCCAGTGATCACGTCCAAGGGTTGCACCTCCAGTGTTTACGTCCAAGGGTTGCACCTTCAGTGTTTACGTCCAAGAGTTGCACCAGAAGTGTTCACGTCCAATGGTTGCACCTGCAGTGTTTACGTCCAAGGGTTGCACCTGCAGTGTTCACGTCCAATGGTTGCACCAGAAGTGTTCACGTCCAATGGTTGCACCAGAAGTGTTCACGTCCAAGGGTTGCACCTTCAGTGTTTACGTCCAAGGGTTGCACCTCCAGTGTTTACGTCCAATGGTTGCACCTGCAGTGTTTACGTAGAAGGGTTGCACCTCCAGTGATCTCGTCCAATGGTTGCACCTGCAGTGTTTACGTCCAAGGGTTGCACCTGCAGTGTTTACGTCCAAGGGTTGCACCTGCAGTGTTCACGTCCAATGGTTGCACCAGAAGTGTTCACGTCCAAGGGTTGCACCTTCAGTGTTTACGTCCAAGGGTTGCACCTCCAGTGTTTACGTCCAATGGTTGCACCTGCAGTGTTTACGTAGAAGGGTTGCACCTCCAGTGATCTCGTCCAATGGTTGCACCTGCAGTGTTTACGTCCAAGGGTTGCACCTGCAGTGTTTACGTCCAAGGGTTGCACCTGCAGTGTTTACGTCCAAGGGTTGCACCTGCAGTGTTCACGTCCAAGGGTTGCACCTGCAGTGTTCACGTCCAAGGTTGCACCTCCAGTGTTCACGTCCAAGGTTTGCACGTGCAGTGATCACGTCCAAGGGTTGCCCGTGCAGTGTTCACGTCCAAGGGTTGCACCTGCAGTGTTCATGTCCAAGGGTTGCACCTGCAGTGATCACGTCCAAGGGTTGCACCTGCAGTGATCACGTCCAAGGGTTGCACCTGCAGTGTTCACGTCCAAGGGTTGCACCTCCAGTGTTCACGTCCAAGGGGTTGCTCCTACAATGATCACGTCCAAGGGTTGCACCTGCAGTGTTCACGTCCAATGGTTGCACCTGCATTGTTCACGTCCAAGGGGTTGCACCTTCAGTGATCACGTCCAAGCGTTGCACCTCCAGTGATCACGTCCAAGGGTTACACCTCCAGTGATCACGTCCAAGGGTTGCACCTCAAGTGATCACGTCCAAGGGTTGCAGCTCCAGTGATCACGTCCAAGGGTTGCACCTCCAGTGTTTACGTCCAAGGGTTGCACCTTCAGTGTTTACGTCCAAGGGTTGCACCTCCAGTGTTTACGTCCAATGGTTGCACCTCCAGTGATCACGACCAAGGGTTGCACCTCTAGTGTTTACGTCCAAGGGTTGCATCTCCAGTGTTTACGTCCAATGGTTGCGCCTCCAGTGATCACGTCCAAGGGTTGCACCTCCAGTGATCACGTCCAGGGGTTGCAGCTCCAGTGATCACGTCCAAGGGTTGCACCTCCAGTGTTTACGTCCAAGGGTTGCACCAGAAGTGTTCACGTCCAAGGGTTGCACCTCCAGTGATCACGTCCAATGGTTGCACCTGCAGTGTTTACGTCCAAGGGTTGCACCTGCAGTGTTCACGTCCAAGGGTTGCACCTCCAGTGATCACGTCCAAGGGTTGCACCTCCAGTGATCACGTCCAAGGGTTGCACCTCCAGTGATCACGTCCAAGGGTTGCACCTCCAGTGATCACGTCCAAGGGTTGCACCTCTAGTGTTTACGTCCAAGGGTTGCACCTGCAGTGTTTACGACCAAGGGTTGCACCTCCAGTGATCACGTCCAAGGGTTGCACCTCCAGTGATCACGTCCAAGGGTTGCACCTCCAGTGATCACGTCCAAGGGTTGCACCTCAAGTGATCACGTCCAAGGGTTGCACCTCCAGTGTTTACGTCCAAGGGTTGCACCTGCAGTGTTCACGTCCAAGGGTTGCACGTGCAGTGATCACGTCCAAGGGTTGCACGTGCAGTGATCACGTCCAAGGGTTGCACCTGCAGTGTTCATGTCCAAGGGTTGCACCTCCAGTGATCACGTCCAAGGGTTGCACCTGCAATGTTTACGTCCAAGGGTTGCAACCTCCAGTGTTCACGTCCAAGGGTTGCACCTCCTATGTTTACGTCCAAGGGTTGCACCTCCAGTGTTTACGTCCAAGGGTTGCACCTGCAGTGTTCACGTCCAAGGGTTGCACCAGCAGTGTTTACGTCCAAGGGTTGCACCAGCAGTGTTCACGTCCAAGGGTTGCACCTGCAGTGTTCACGTCCAAGGGTTGCACCTCCAGTGTTTACGTCCAAGGGTTGCACCAGCAGTGTTCACGTCCAAGGGTTGCACCTCCAGTGTTCACGTCCAAGGGGTTGCTCCTGCAATGATCACGTCCAAGGGTTGCACCTGCAGTGATCACGTCCAAGGGGTTGCACCTTCAGTGATCACGTCCAAGGGTTGCACCTCCAGTGATCACGTCCAAGGGTTGCACCTCCAGTGATCACGTCCAAGGGTTGCACCTCCAGTGCTCACGTCCAAGGGTTGCAGCTCCAGTGATCACGTCCAAGGGTTGCACCTCCAGTGTTTACGTCCAAGGGTTGCACCTTCAGTGTTTACGTCCAAGGGTTGCACCTCCAGTGTTTACGTCCAATGGTTGCACCTCCAGTGATCACGACCAAGGGTTGCACCTCTAGTGTTTACGTCCAAGGGTTGCACCTCCAGTGTTTACGTCCAATGGTTGCACCTCCAGTGATCACGTCCAAGGGTTGCATCTCTAGTGTTTACGTCCAAGGGTTGCACCTTCAGTGTTTACGTCCAAGGGTTGCACCAGAAGTGTTCACGTCCAATTGTTGCACCTCCAGTGATCACGTCCAATGGTTGCACCTGCAGTGTTTACGTCCAAGGGTTGCACCTGCAGTGATCACGTCCAAGGGTTGCACCTCCAGTGATCACGTCCAAGGGTTGCACCTCCAGTGATCACGTCCAAGGGTTGCACCTCCAGTGATCACGTCCAAGGGTTGCACCTCCAGTGATCACGTCCAAGGGTTGCACCTCTAGTGTTTACGTCCAAGGGTTGCACCTGCAGTGTTTACGACCAAGGGTTGCACCTCCAGTGATCACGTCCAAGGGTTCCACCTCCAGTGATCACGTCCAAGGGTTGCACCTCCAGTGATCATGTCCAAGGGTTGCACCTCCAGTGATCACGTCCAAGGGTTGCACCTCTAGTGTTTACGTCCAAGGGTTGCACCTGCAGTGTTCACGTCCAAGGGTTGCACGTGCAGTGATCACGTCCAAGGGTTGCACTTGCAGTGATCACGTCCAAGGGTTGCACCTGCAGTGTTCATGTCCAAGGGTTGCACCTCCAGTGATCACGTCCAAGGGTTGCACCTGCAATGTTTACGTCCAAGGGTTGCAACCTCAAGTGTTCACGTCCAAGGGTTGCACCTCCAGTGTTTACGTCCAAGGGTTGCACCTCCAGTGTTTACGTCCAAGGGTTGCACCTGCAGTGTTCACGTCCAAGGGTTGCACCAGCAGTGTTTACGTCCAAGGGTTGCACCAGCAGTGTTCACGTCCAAGGGTTGCACCAGCAGTGTTCACGTCCAAGGGTTGCACCTCCAGTGTTTACGTCCAAGGGTTGCACCAGCAGTGTTCACGTCCAAGGGTTGCACCTGCAGTGTTCACGTCCAAGGGTTGCACCAGCAGTGTTCACGTCCAAGGGTTGCACCTCCAGTGATCACGTCCAAGGGTTGCACCTGCAGTGATCACGTCCAAGGGTTGCACCTCCAGTGATCACGTCCAAGGGTTGCACCTCCAGTGATCACGTCCAAGGGTTGCACCTCCAGTGATCACGTCCAAGGGTTGCACGTGCAGTGATTACGTCCAAGGGTTGCACGTGCAGTGATCACGTCCAAGGGTTGCACCTGCAGTGTTCATGTCCAAGGGTTGCACCTCCAGTGATCACGTCCAAGGGTTGCACCTGCAATGTTTACGTCCAAGGGTTGCAACCTCAAGTGTTCACGTCCAAGGGTTGCACCTCCAGTGTTTACGTCCAAGGGTTGCACCTCCAGTGTTTACGTCCAAGGGTTGCACCTACAGTGTTCACGTCCAAGGGTTGCACCAGCAGTGTTTACGTCCAAGGGTTGCACCAGCAGTGTTCACGTCCAAGGGTTGCACCAGCAGTGTTCACGTCCAAGGGTTGCACCTCCAGTGTTTACGTCCAAGGGTTGCACCAGCAGTGTTCACGTCCAAGGGTTGCACCTGCAGTGTTCACGTCCAAGGGTTGCACCAGCAGTGTTCACGTCCAAGGGTTGCACCTCCAGTGATCACGTCCAAGGGTTGCACCTGCAGTGATCACGTCCAAGGGTTGCACCTCCAGTGATCACGTCCAAGGGTTGCACCTCCAGTGATCACGTCCAAGGGTTGCACCTCCAGTGATCACGTCCAAGGGTTGCACCTCCAGTGATCACGTCCAAGGGTTGCACCTCCAGTGATCACGTCCAAGGGTTGCACCTCCAGTGTTACTAACGCAGACAGCAACGTCTTCACCTTCCTCTGTTTATCTGTCACTCCTCCACCATTCAGAGCATGCTGTGAGGCGACTAAAGGATCTGAGGACCGGGTCATCCAGAAAGATCTAGCTGGTGGGCTGGTCGTGGTGATGCTGTGACTGCTTCTGGTACTGGTCAGTGTAGCGGCACCTGCTGCTGCTTGCCCATTATCTCTTACATCTTCATCAATGTCCATTAAACATTATAATTATTATTATATAATAACAATTATTATTATTATTATATAATAACAATTATTTTTATTATTATTATTATTATTATTATTATTATTATTATTATTATTAAGGCCTTTAATAAGAATAATGTTAACAATATTCTTCATATTTATATGAATATATGTAATAATAATATATACGTAGCAATTATAATAAATATAGTAACAACAATTAGCTGGCAAACGCTTGAAAAGATATATAGATTAACACACGCAGAGATAGATACGAAAATAGAAAGAACACAAAAGAAAAAGAAAAAGAAAAAATCTAATAATAATTGAGAAATTGGGAGATAAAGAGCGGATGACATATAAGAGGAATGGAGGAGAAGAACAGAGAGGTCTGGAGGTACTGACCTGAACGGTGCAGGAGACACAGGTGGAGAGAGAGAGAGAGAGAGAGAGAGAGAGAGAGAGAGAGAGAGAGAGAGAGAGAGAGAGAGAGAGAGAGAGAGAGAGAGAGAGAGAGAGAGAGAGAGAGAGAGAGAGAGGGGGAGAGAGAGAGAGAGAGAGAGACGGGGGGGGGGTCAGGAGGTACTGACCTGCAGGGTGCAGGAGACACAGGTGAAGTCTCCGGGTATGATGACAGGTATAGTGTACTCTCCTCCTTGGGTCACTGTGTCCATCTTATACTGACCACCTTCCACCCCGGATATCTCCAAGGGCCACCTGGGGGGGGGGGGGAATCATCAAGGTCAGGTTACTTAATGTCTTACAATATATGATAATTTGTGAATATGTATTTGTGTGTGAACACAAATAAATATTCATACTGACAATTTACTATAAAACCAAAAAAACGGCCAGCCTACTCATGAGAAACTCATGAGTAGGCTGGCCGTTCACAAAGCAGAACGCTTTAAAAGAGACCAACGTCGTCTATGCCTTCAAATGCCCTCTTGGGTACTTTAAGCCTCAAAAAACTCAGTATATAGGCAAGACAACAACATCTCTTTCCAGGCGTTTAACGATGCATAAACAACAGGGCTCCATTAAGGAACATATAGCCTCTTCCCACAACCAGACCATCACCAGAGAAATCTTAGCAAACAACACAGAAATCATCGATAGATACAGCGATAGCAGGCGGCTCGACGTTTGCGAGGCACTACACATCAAGAAGTCAACGCCAGCAATCAACAGCCAATTAATGCACAACTATATTCTACCCACTTCAAGACTCCGCTCCAATATAGAAGCATCAAGAAATATGGGTCAATAAAATAGGCCTTGTGCATTTACCTACTTTTAATACCTGTTTGTATTTCATTGTTTCGTGTTCTGTCTTGTGTTAAAAGTTTATTTTCACCTCATCCAAAACTATTGTAACATGTCACTTCACCCAAACGTAGGTATAAAAACTCGAAAGATGTTTAAAGCTCTATTCAGTTAAAGTTGTGTGTGTTTGTGTAAACTAAACTCTTTGAAAATGTAATAAGTTTTACGAAACGCGCTCAAGTGTCGCGTCAGAATAGAAATAAAAATGAATTTTGGAATATTGATCTTTGAATTACCATCAACAGTGAAAAGAAACGTAAGAAAGATCGAGAATATATATATATATATATATATATATATATATATATATATATATATATATATATATATATATATATATATATATATATATATATATATATATATATATATATATATATATATATATATATATATATATATATAGACTAATATATATATATATATATGTCGTACCTAGTAGCCAGAACGCACTTCTCAGCCTACTATGCAAGGCCCGATTTTCCTAATAAGCCAAGTTTTCCTGAATTAATATATTTTCTCAAATTTTTTTCTTATGAAATGATAAAGCTACCCATTTCATTATGTATGAGGTCAATTTTTTTATTGGATTTAAAATTAACGTAGATATATGACCGGACCTAACCAACCCTACCTAACCTATCTTTATAGGTTAGCTTAGGTTAGGTAGCCGAAAAAGTTAGGTTAGGTTAGGTTAGGTAGGTTAGGTAGTCGAAAAACAATTAATTCATGAAAACTTGGTTTATTAGGCAAATCGGGCCTTGCATAGTAGGCCGAGAAGTGCGTTCTGGCTACTAGATACGACATATATATATATATATATATATATATATATATATATATATATATATATATATATATACATATATATATATATATATATATATATATATATATATATATATATATATATACCATTCCCCACTCCCCCGTTCCCTCGTCCTCCCCACCATCCCTCGCTCCCCCCATCCCCTCGTCCTCCCCACCATCCACCATTCCCTCATCCAAAGCATTCCTAAATGATATGATGTTCCCATCAAAAAAATTGGACCATCAAATGATCTGACCTTTCCATCACTAAAAAATAAAAGCAGTTAAAAAAACGAAATAAAAACAATGAAAAATAAATAAAAAATAAACTTTACTCACGAAATGAATGGTATGGTAAACAGCACAGCTCAATTCCAACGTAATGTTACACAAAATAATTAAATCAAAATGAAAATAAATCGAAATCTATGAAAATTAAATTTATCAATGAAATTGGAAACATTGAAAAATGGAATCTTAACATATTCATTATAGTGTGTGTTGTTTTTACGTGCAACAGATGGCACTGTTTTAAAAAATATCATGTTTTTACCTGTCACAGATGTGGCATCTATATAGTAGGTATATAAAAACACTCAGGTATTCAAATGAAACATTTTGTAAAATTTTCAAAGCGATCGGTGAAGAACTTTCGGAGATTATCGCGTGTGTTTCTCTTATGTCCAACAGATGGCTCTGTTCTTCAAAAACGCAAGTTTTTACCTGTCACAGGTGTGGCACGTATATATACCAGCTATTTTAAAGCACGCATGTATTCGAATGCAACTTTGTGTCAAAATTTCAAAGCCATCGATAAAAAGGTTTCGAAAATTTCCCTGGCATTAAAACGCATATGAAAAACATTTTTTTCACTAAATACATGTTTTTACCTGTCTCAGACGTAATATCTATATAGAAGGTATATAAAATCACGCTCGTATGTGAATGGAACGTTGTGTCAAAATTTCAAAGCAATCGGTGAAGAATTTTCGGAGATTAGCGATTTTGAACAAACGAACATTTACATTTATATTTATATAGATATAATATATGACTTGGACAAACTTGGCATCTCACCTCATAAGGCAGTCCTCATCCTTGGGGCCTGTCTTTGGGCAAAGGTAGAATTCAAAGACGCCCGCCTCCACATGCGGGACCTGCGCATGGATCAGCATCTCCTGGTGTGTTCCGAGGGGAAGAGAATATTGTTAGTCTTATACTACTGCTGCTTTTTGCAACTACCACATGAGCCAGACATGCTACCACAATAAGCAGTATACAAAACACATTATCACATTTACAGCATCAACCACATACACTGCATGTTGCGACCACCACCAGCTGCTTGGAATGTTTTGATGGGTTGATGTGTTTCTGTAGGTCTTGAAAACATGGTGAACAATTACCCCCTCACGCCTCGAAGAAAGCCTCACAACTAACTCAAGCATTCCTATCCAAGTTGTAACTGGATGATGTCTCTATCTTTGTAATAAAGCCGATTCTTCGAAGAGCAAATATTACCACAACATATGTAACACAAGTGTATTGGGATGTGCTGCAGGGGGTAGAGGTGGTCTACTGTACGCAGTGTTCCACACAGAAACACTGTTCATGGAATGTGAGATACAGAAACCCTGTACAAGGTGAACAACACTGTTTCCACGATAGTAGAGAAATACAGCATTAATTCTTACCTCCCCAGCGACGTACTCAGGGAGCGGCCGGTCTGCTTCAGGGTCTTCACTCACCGCGCCCTGCAACACATATGTATCTTACTGAGAACAAAAAAATGCATAATGAACACAAGTACACAAATATTGAGCACAAAAGGTATTTACTAAACACATAAAGATGTATTGTGAGCGCTGAGTGATGTATAATGAACACAATAAAGGGGAGGCAGACGATGAGTCACAATAACGTGGGTGAATAAATGATGACCAAACTACAACTCAGAAGATGGAGAAGCGACGACGTTTTGGTCCGTCCTGAACCATTATCAAGGCGTGTGATGACCTGACATCCCACGACTTGATAATGGTCCTAAACGTTGTCGTTCTCCATCTTCCGATTTGTTGTTTGGTCATGAAGAAGAGAAATGAATTACAGGTGAGTAAGGACGCGTGGAGACACTCACCAACTCATGACAGTTGCGTGAGGGAGGACTGATGAGGAGCTGAGCCCACGCCGTCCCAACCTGCAGTCACGGTGCAAATGTTTTTTTATTAATACTAATAATGATAACAATAGTATTGGAAATAAATATCAACAATAGTTATAATAGTATTAGTAATGCACTAAGAAATTCCAATACCGTAATGTATCAATAAGAGTCAGTTAGAGCCACAAGGCGGACACGAACCAGTACCCTGGCTGATACTCCCAAACACACGCCTTAAACCACTGGTCCATGTGTAAACAGTCTGTAGTCTCTACTAATTGTTTATGTATACTATATAGTTGGTGCTAACTGTGTATGTTTTATGGAGAGTTGTTGCTAACTATGTGAGTGTTTAATGTATAAAGTTGGTACTGTGTTTTTTTGTAAACTTTGTGATAACTGTTTTTTATAGTAACTAAGGGGAAAACATAAAGTTTGTTGCTGGTGATACTTTTCACATTAAACAGGAATTAGACTAGAGCCAAAGTACTCACAGTGAGGAGCAGTAAGACCAGCGTGTTCATCCTGCAGCGTGTGCTGGTAGAGTGCCCAGCACAGTGCCTTATATACCCGACCTCATCCTCTAATTCCTCCATGCTCCTCCCACGCATCTATTTTACTTCCCTGGATGAATATGGTTACATTATATACCGGACCTCTAGCTCTTGTTCAGGATGCTCCTCGAAAAAATATTTGTCGTGTTTATTTCCCAGGACGACTATGCTACCATTATATTACCATACAACCAATGGAACTATGGTATCATTATACACCCAATCTTTTCTTACAATATTTATGTTCCCAAGTCCTCCAAGCAATATTAGCTGGCTTGAAATGTTTTGTGTAAGTACTTTGTAGGTTCCCTTATCAACTATGTTGTCGAGACCCGGGTCATCACTGTGACATTTACTCTTCCTGCTGCAGGATGCTCCTCACTGCGCGCTCTCCCACAGTTGCTTCAAAATGTCACTAAAATGTCAATAAGATCAGCTCAGTCTCACGTTTTGACATGATTACAGATTTAACACTCTTACTCTACCATAAGGAGCTGAACCTCACGTCCCTGGAAACAGAAGAGTAAGGGGAGACATGATAACCACCTACAAAATTCTCAGGGGAATTGACAGGGTGGACAAAGACAAACTCTTTAGCACGGGTGGAACACGAACAAGGGGACACAGGTGGAAACTTAGTACCCAGATGAGCCACAGAGACGTTAGAAAGAATTACTAAAAGAGTAGTTAATAAATGGAATGCACTAGGAAGTGATGTGGTGGAGGCTGACTCCATACACAGTTTCATATATAGATATGACTGAGCCCAGTAGACTCAAGAATCTGTACACCCGTTGATTGACAGTTGAGAGGCGGGACCAAAGAGCCAAAGCTCAACCCCCGCAAGCAGAGAGTACAAGCAACTGTACTCACTTAAGTGAGTACAATTAGGTGAGTATAGGCTGATCCACCTAACCTAAAGAGGACATTATATTCTTACGGAAAAGCATGCATTTTCAATGCCTGCATTTTGACTATTGATATTCAAATTGAAAATGAATAAAATGAATGATAGTAGTAGTAGTGGAAAGTACGCCAATGACCAGCAGTTTTCATTTTTTCCTGTGCCCGTCATTGGCGTAGGGGGGGTTTCGTATTTTTTCCCCGGTCAGTCATTGATGCAGGGGTATTTTAAACAAAATTCCCTTCCGGGCAGGCAAAATTCATTTGGATGTTTTCATTTTTCGTAACATTTATCATCATCGTCTTTGAAAATATATAATTTTCCTAAAAGGAGTACTAAAAGGCACCCTCCTCACCCCTGAAAATTTCGTTCAAGGAGATTAAAAGCCCGGCTCATGGCGTACGCAAATTTAGTTACCCCAGTGACTCATGCATAGGTATCGCTAATGGTCAATGATGTAATCATCAAGCCAGTCTTTAACCTTCCCTATGGGGGGGGGGGGGGGGTGGGCCTAAAAGACCGGCTCCTGACATACGCAAATTTTGTTACCCCAGTGGCCCATGCACAGGCATCGCTAATGGACAATGACGTTATCAGCTGGTCAGTCTTCATCTTCCCTGAATAAGTCAGTTTACTGAAATAGCATATTTAAACCCATTTTCCTAATGTTTCCTATTATCAAAGTTCATTTTATAGATAAGATCTCATATTAAACATAAGAAATGAAATTGCACAAGGCCTTTGCTGAATCTCCTATTTATTTCCAATCTCTGTCAACCAAAACATCAACTAACGCTATTAGATGAAGTGAAGTAAACCTATTCCCAATTATTGCCCCATTTTTCTGTCCATTTATGCTTTCAATCGCGCCATTCTGTCAATATTCAGAAGGACCTGTTAGCTCTCCTTAACAGGATATACACCCACAGTGGATATACACCCACAGTGGAGATAACAGATATACACCGACAGTGGAGGTAATAGATATACAACCACAGTGGAGGTAACAGATATACACCCACAGTGGAGGTAACAGATATACAGCCACAGTGGAGATAACAGATATACACCCACAGTGGAGGTAATAGATATACAACCACAGTGGAGGTAACAGATATACACCCACAGTGGAGGTAACAGATATACAGCCACAGTGGAGGTAACAGATATACAGCCACAGTGGAGATAACAGATATACACCCACAGTGGAGGTAACAGATATACAGCCACAGTGGAGATAACAGATATACACCCACAGTGGAGGTAACAGATATACAGCCACAGTGGAGATAACAGATATACACCCACAGTGGAGGTAACAGATATACAACCACAGTGGAGGTAACAGATATACACCCACAGTGGAGGTAACAGATATACAGCCACAGTGGAGATAACAGATATACACCCACAGTGGAGATAACAGATATACAGCCACAGTGGAGGTAACAGATATACACCCACAGTGGAGATAACAGATATACACCCACAGTGGAGATAACAGATATACACCCACAGTGGAGATAACAGATATACACCCACAGTGGAGGTAACAGATATACACCCACAGTGGAGATAACAGATATACACCCACAGTGGAGGTAACAGATATACACCCACAGTGGAGATAACAGATATACACCCACAGTGGAGGTAACAGATATACAACCACAGTGGAGGTAACAGATATACACCCACAGTGGAGGTAACAGATATACAGCCACAGTGGAGATAACAGATATACACCCACAGTGGAGATAACAGATATACACCCACAGTGGAGATAACAGATATACACCCACAGTGGAGGTAATAGATATACACCCACAGTGGAGGTAACAGATATACACCCACCTCTCTCTCTCTCTCTCTCTCTCTCTCTCTCTCTCTCTCTCTCTCTCTCTCTCTCTCTCTCTCTCTCTCTCTCTCTCTCTCTCTCTCTCTCTCTCTCTCTCTCTCTCTCTCTCTCTCTCTCTCTCTCTCTCTCTCTCTCTCTATCTCTCTATCTTTTTTTTTTTTTTTTTTTTTTTTTTTTTTTTAAACTAAGACTAGGATTCATAAGGGATGCCTAATAACATACCTATTGAAACTGCAAGCAAGAGCTGTTATCCTACCTCAGCTCATCTGAAGCCTACACCTAGAAACTCATTTATTACATAAGAGTATACTTTGAAACTAACACAATGGGAACTATCATATATTTAACTTATGTAAGCTAAGTTGAAACCTACTCCTAGATGCCCATTTATTTCATGAGCCTGGTATTATTTGCTTTAGAAGGAATAGCCTTTATTCATTAAAAAACATTAAGTAACAATCAAATAAGGAACAGGATGAGCTTGTAGCCAGCTGTGTGCCAGAGTCTTCATGTGAACAGTTGACCTGATCTCCCGTGTATCAATCTGTTGAGCGAACAAGTTCCAGATGCGAGTAAGTCTCGGAAGGAATGAACGCTGATGGAGTGATGTTCTTGAGAATGGCACTTCCAGCATGAGACTGTTGAAGGTTGAGAGCCTAGTGTTACGAGTGGGAACTACTGGTACTCCACGGAGTAGGGCCAAGTGCGGAACTTTAAGGATGTTGGCCTTGTACATAACAGTAAGACCAACAACGTCCCGACGGTGTTGCAGGCTCTGATGTTCAGACCGTTCCCACCTGACTTGGTCAAGACTAGAGATAAGCCTTCTAGCCCGTCTCTCCACTTTGTCCAACAGTCTGACGAAAGATGGGGGGCAGGCAATCCAGGAAAGGGGTGCATACTCAAG